ACCCTTATTTATTTTTATGGGGTTGGCAATGGAACCCCTGGCTGGTGCATGCTGGACAAATGTTGTATCACTAGCTCCTGGTTTCTCAAGTTTGGTCCCTAAACTAAAAGAGCATGTGGGGGCCGGGCATGGTGGCACACACCTTTAATCCCAGCACTTGGGAGGCAGAGGCAGGCTGATCTTTTTGAGTTCAAGGCCAGCCTGGTCTACATAGTGAGTTCCAGGACAGCTGGAGCTACAGGGAGACCCTGTCTCAAAAAGACAAAAAATAAATAAAAAAGAGAGCATGTGGGAGCTGAATCGTAAGACTTGACTGGATTTTGAGTGAGGTGGGAGCAGATTCCATGACAACACTGGAAGGGCAGGGCAGGCTGACACCCTCTCTAGGTACCTTCAGATGCAGAAGAAAGTGTTAGCCAAGATAGGTTGTCCTGATGCCATAGTGTTGGTGTCCTTTAAATTTCTGAGTATGCAAATTAAGTAAGTACATAGGAAGGAAAGCTGGGTTGACAGTGCTGTTTGTGGTACATGAGATACATTGGATATAATTAAGGAAGCTTTGGGGAAACTGACCTTTTAACTTCCAGTTGTTCTGTTGGTCAGAGATGGAGTTTCTGTGGCTGCCTTGGGATTGGTTGGGCCTCATGGCTCTAGGCTATTAAATGCTGTGACAGTGACACACTTGATGATGGGACCAGCACAAAAGGTACTGTCTCCTCCTTAGGGTACATATGTATGGCAAAGGGAGTGGCACTGTGAAACACTGTTTCTGAAGAGCCTGTTGGATATATTTCTGGGTTTAATACATTCTATAACTTCTAAAGAACAGAATTTTTTGTACCTTAAGAATTTTGGGGCTGGAGAGGTGGCTCAGCAGTTAGGAGCACTGGCTACTCTTGTAGAAGACCTGGGTTCGATTCCCAGCACCCACATGGCAGCTAATAACCATCTGTAACTCTAGTTCCAGGGGATCCTATGCCCTTTTCTGACCTCCAAGGGCACTGCATGACACGGGTACACTTAATACATGCAGGCAACACATTCATACACATAAAATAAAAATCAAAAATATTTTTAAAAAAAGAATTTCATGCATCACCAGAAATGGTATTCTATTTGCATTTCTGTTCTTTCCTTTTCATGCTGTTTGCATTCAAGAGAATCTGTTGGTGGTGCTTTCTATTCCATGTCTGTGTTTGGGCAGATGTGTAAAACTGTCAGCTGTACAACTTAATGGAAAAACATGGGGTTGCAGCAGGACTCATGGGTGGGGAGCAGGGTGTGAGCCCCAGTCACTGTCCATGGTCTGGCTCCTGATGGACTCTTGTGCCTGTGGACTGAAGTCACCTCACCTGTCAGTGTCAGCACTAGGCTAGGCAAGCTTTAGCAGTGTTTGATCTGCTGAGGGAGGCTGGAGTTGGCCTTGGGTTTCCCATCACAGATCAATTTCTCCTTTTCTTTCTGCTCAATTTGCCTCCAGCTCCTGCTCTATGGGAGGAGGGCAGGCATCCTACTGGGAGGCACTGAGGTAAGCCTTCCACTCCCTTCAGCTCAACAGCTCCAGCAATTGATTTCCTTGCAATTAGGCAAATGCCTGCATTTTAGGATACAAGGTGCTTAGGTGTTATTTCTCTGCCACTTCTCTAAGGAAATACATGCTGAATTAAGTTTTATGGATTTGTTCACACTCAGCAGCACCACTGAAGGCCAAGGTTTCAACAGCTGTTTTGCTGCCGTGATTGTTGGAGAGGAGCTGAATAGGATTTGCCAGTGTTCCTTGCATGAATGTGTGGACAGGCCATTTCTACTTCCTGACAGGCCTTCCTCTCTCCTCCCAGGCGTGGGCAGATGCCTTTAGGAGCAGTCCTGACCTCACCGGTGTTGTGCACATATATGAGGAGCTGAAGAGGAAGGGGGTTGAATTTCCCATGGCAGACTTGGATGCTCTGTCTCCTATCCATACACCCCAGCGGGTAAGCTTCCAGCTGGTGTTTTCTAGAAAGACTGCCTGTAGAACAGCCAAGCCCTTGCATCGCCCTTCTCCTGCTGCCTCTGCATTATTCAGCCTGTCGTGTGTTCTTAAAGCTCTTGGGCATTTCTTTTAATAAAAAAGGGGAATGCAGGAGGGAGGCAGCTGGGGGACTGGTGATTAAGTGGCAGCAGAGTCTCTCCCAGTTTCACATATAATAGAAAAATCAGTTCAGCCATTTGGCTCCTTGGGTAGAGCCATCCTGTGAGGGTCATTTGCACCTGCTTTACAGAAGCCTGTAGAATATGTGTGGAAATCTGTCGTTATTCTCTGTGATGCTGAGGGAATGCTGAAGTTTACTCACCACAGGCAAAGAGCAGCTTTCGTTATACAGTATATAGGTATCCTGAATATATACTGTATATATCAGTAGATCATTTCTTTTAATATGGTGCTGAAGATAGAACCCAGGACTTCATGAATGCTAAGGACACATCTATTACTGAGCCACACTCCAGCCCAGTCAATGGATCCCAAATGTATTTTGAGCTATGGGCATTCAACACTAGTCTAGGCATTCTTGTATTCTGTCAGCCTTGGGTTCAAAGCCCAGGAAAGGCTCTTGTTAGAGCATCTTACAGAGCCTCTCACATTGTCAATAGTGGCCAGGGTGGCCCGTGCCTCAGAATTAAATGCATGTAGGCAATACCAATTATGGTTCTTTAGGTAGGTTAGTCCCTATACTGGCTATGAAACAGATCCCAGCTCTGGGAAGACCCATGATAGCTTAGAGTCTGAAGAGGTACCAGCATGGCTCACATGGCCTTTACTGGCCTCCATCTGCCCATTTCTCATGAGTACCTCAAGGAGGGTAGTGTGCCTTGCACATCTGTGAACATAAGCCCTAATGCTGGTGAGGATAGCTGAGATGCCTGGTAGGTGAAGGGCAAAAGGAGTCAACACTTTCCAAAGCTTTATTCTCATTATGATCCCTCCAAACCAATTACTATGCTTTGTGGTATAAACATAACCTGAGTATCCTTCTATTAATAACAGAGGGAGCAGTGTTGTTCCTATAATTACAAAGAACAATCAGTGAATTGTGTAATTGCTATTTATATTAGTCTGCTTGTAAAGGCCAAAATGTAGTCTTGTGGTACCAAGTAATGATTCATGATTAGCAAACTCCAATCTGGAGGAGGTCCATATGATGGACCAATGTCCAGAATGCTCCCAGAGTGCTTTCCCTGGGGCCTTTTAGGTTCCATTGCTTGCCTGCAACATAATCCTTGAGAGGGAGGGAAGGAGAGAAGAAAAGAAGGAGGGAGGGAGAGGGAGGGAAGGAGAAAGAGGCAGGAAAGAAAGACATGCTGGTGACTATTGCCTTGATGGAGAGACTGACTGGGCCCACAGGGCTCCTGTGAATTCTAACTAAAAATACCACCTGTACTGGAGGCAGTGCCAGGCCAGGCCATCGAACACCCAAGTAAACCAAAGCTGTTGTTGTTGTCATGACAGAGTGTCCCAGAAGTGGATCCAGCTGCCACCATGCCCAGGTCCCAATCACAGCGCAGGACAAGTGCTGGCTCCTATCCCTCACCATCTCCTGCTTCCTACTCCACTCCACAGGTCCCGGCTCTGAGTGTGACTGGCCCCATCACAGCCAATTCAGAACAGGTATTTGTGTGCCTCCAGGCCATAGTCAGGCCAGCCAACTGTCCTCTTGCACCTTTCCAGGGGACACGTACAAAAGCCTCCCTGGACCTCCATGCACTGTGCTAGGTGTGGAGACACAAAGATGGAAGGGCCTAGTCCCTGGGGGTGGCAGACTGGAGATCACAGCAATAGAACATGGTCTTTTGTGGTGGGAAACAGAGCAGAGCATTCCGTGAGCCAGGGATGAGCAGGGCTGAGAAAGCAGCTGGGAGCTATGACACTGAGGGCTCTGGAATGAGCCTGGAGATTTGTCAGGTGAGTCTTCACACTCAGTAGCATCAGCATGTACAGCAGAGAGGAGTGGCTCCCCAGGGAGTACACATCTGCAGTGTAGGTTCATTTATAGGCCACATGAGAGGGGAGTGATAGAAGACAAGGACAAAAGCAAAGGAACACAACTGAACTGCAGCTGCGAATAGGCATTAGCCACTTGGGGAGGTGGATGTCTCCCATAAGATATGCCAACCATCAGAGTTTGTGCTTAATCAACAAGGTGCCCTAGAGACCGCAGCTCAATTAGGGAGGCTTTCCAGAAGTCTCTTCCGGCCTTAGCCCAGGCACAGCCCCTCTGCCCAGGGTAATGTGGTTTTACTCTAAACTATATATATTTTAAGATTTTATTTATTTTTATTTTATGTGTATGAGTGTTTTGCCTACATGTATGTAAGTGGACCACATGCATGCCTGGTGCCCATGGAGGCCAGGAGAGGCATCAGATCCCCTGGAGCTGGAGTGATGGACAGTTGTTAGCTGCCATGTGGGTGCTGGAAACTGAACCTCGGTCCTCTGCAAGAGCAGCCAGTGCTCTAGTCACTGAGCCATCTCTCTAGTAGTACCCCCCAACTATATTTTTAGAAAAATATAGAAACTAATATTTAGATAAATCTATAGAATTCCTGTTAAGTTAAAATTTAGAATTGGTGGTTAGAAAAATTGATTAAATGCTTATATTTCAAAATCTTTTTTCCTATTTGTGACAGTGCCATTACTGTAGAACCTTGTTGAAACAGAGGGGTCAGGTGATCATTTATAGATGACGGTGGTGTTGTGCCAAGGCTGTGTCCTTCTGTCACTACTGAGGAGAGCTCATGGTACAAGTAGAAGGCAAACAAGTAGGCACATAGACCCTGGTGTGAACCACCCTGGTGTGAGCCACACTGTGGTTCCATGTGAGGCTTTGGCAGGACAGTACGCTTTAGTCTGTCATTAGAGCAGGCAGCTGGAACCTGGCCCTGGCCCACAGAGGGACAGTGTTCTCATGTATCCTCCAAATACTAGGGCATGATCTAATCCTACAGCTGAAATATGGGGTTCATGCTCCCAGTGGGGCCTGGATCAATGAGTGCTGCCCCTCTTTACCACCACAGAGCCAGAACCTTTTCTAAAGGGGAAATGTGGACAGCTCTTGGACCTGCTTCCTTGAGCAGAGCTCCAGGCTTTATCTGAGGGGAGGCACAAAGTATTTGAAGCTGGACAGTGGTGGAACCCTTAGCTTGGTTCACTGTCAGTGTGTTGGGTACCAGGGAAGGACCTTCCAGTAGCCAGAACAGCCAAAAGGAAGCTCTAGAGTGCCAAGAGAACATAGCAGTGTAGGAACCTTGAGACCTGTTGCTCCTGTGTACCTGGGGGGAAATGAAAACTGAGGCAGATAGGCCCGTGACCAGCCTGACCTGCTACAGAGCCCATGTGGACATCACATGTAACACTTCCTGGACCACTCTGGCCAGAAACTCTTCAACCAACACATTGAAGAGACTCTGGGACCATCCCCCAAGTATGTTAGAGGCCAGCAAGAGCCTCTCCGAGCCCAAACCATCTCCAGCTGCCCTCCTAGACAAGCCTTGCTTGTCCCTGCCCTGAAGAACTAAAAATCTGCTGAGAGAACCCCACAGGGAAAAACTGAAGGATGGAGGGAATGACCCCTTGTACCGAGGCAGGCCAGGGAAAAGCGGAAAGGCCTTACTGGGAGCAGGAAGTGGCCCTGGAGGAAAAGAACCCTATCAGTCTAGCTTTGGGACTGCATAGGAGAAAGCCATACATAGAGTAGGTAGCATAGTATACCTAGGGCCTCTTCAAGTTCTGTGGTGTCAGGGCTGAGAATACTTAGCTCCCTTCTGCCTCAGTGCTTTCGGCTGTACACTGCTCTTCAAGCACGAGCATGGACATGGAGGTGCCAGTGGCAGACTTGTTGGTGACCAGAGCTCCAGTAGCCTGGCTTCCCCATGGAGTTCTCTTCAACAGACAGAACATGGGGGAAAAGAAGGCTACTATGACATATGTTCAGGGTGGTTGAAGTCCACAGTGGACAGGAATGTCTCAGCCTGTGGGTTATCTGGTTCTGAACCTGCAGGTGCAGTGAACTAACTGGTTCTTCCTGCCTTCTTCTTCTTAACCCTGCAGATTGCCAGGCTTCGCAGTGAACTGGACATTGTTCGAGGAAACACAAAAGTCATGTCAGAGATGTTAACAGAAATGGTTCCAGGGCAGGAGGATTCTTCTGATCTGGAACTGCTGCAGGTGAGCTTAACCTTGGCTGATGGATGCACCAGGCTGATTGCAGGCCTGGGGCCTTCAGTGGCAGTCCCCTGCTTCACACTGTGGTGGGACTCTACTTGGGGACACAGCCATGAAACTGACAAGTCTGGTGTCACTATAGTGGAGAAGTACTAAGCCCACATTGGCCTACATTCAGCAATACTTCCTAGAGACTGACAGAGGCTAGAATGTCTTTTTAAGATGTCTTTTCTTGTTGTTTTATTTTACTTGTGTTTTTGAGACAGGGTCTCCCTGTAGCTCCAGCTGGCCTGGAACTCGCTATGTAGACCAGGCTGGCCTTGATCTCACAGAGATTCACCTGCCTCTGCCTCCCTGAATGCTAGAATTAAAGGTGTGAATCACCACACCTGGCTCTTTTTTTTTTTTTTTTTTTCACATTTCTTTAATAACTTTTCCTGACTATAAAATACCAATTATAGCCAGGCGTGGTAGTGCATGCCTTTAATCCCAGCCCTTGGGAGGCAGAGGCAGATGGATCTCTGTGAGTTCAAGGCCAGCCTGGTCTACATAGTGAGTTCCAGGCCAGCTGGGGCTACTGGGAGACGCTGTCTCAAAAAAGACAAAAAAAAAAAAAAAAAAAAAAATCAATTATAGAATACATGTCCATTAAAAAAAAGAGAGAATAATTTTCTTTAACCTAAGCATTTGCAATAAGCTGTGTTTATATTTTGAGGTGTTAGTGAGGCTCTTTGTTGTGTTTATTTTATATATAGTTGAAATCATGCTGTGTATACAATTTCATGCATGGCTTTGCTCTCTTGGTATTATGTCCTAAGCATCTTGGAATAAGACCTCTTTGTCTTTGACAGCACAAGGAAGCCTTTCTTCTAGCCTCATACCTTAAGGCAGGAGTTTCTAAGACTGAGGTGACGTCAGTGCTCCTGTTTATTGCCACGCTACTGAGACCATTCAGGCTGGGGGTGTGCACTGTGGTTCCCAAGGACCTACTGCCCCTCTCTGCCTCTCTGCTTCTGGAAATCCATAAATGGTAGTATTGGAGATGGAACCTAGGGGCTGTATACATACTAGGCAAGAACTCTGTCACTGAGCTGCATCCCCAGCCCATTCTACATATCTTGAACACAGTAGGAAAGAGCCTGGGAGCAAGTTAGTCAGCAGTCCCACTGTTAGACTAGAGTCAGGGGCTTGTGAGGTTCAGAGCCAGTGAACAGAGCCCTACCCCACCAGCCTCCAGTGACTCCTACACTCACAGAAGATGGCAGTGGCACTGCTCTTCAGAGTAGAGACCTTCTACAGGGATGGAGAAAGGATGCTGTGAACTCCAAGTGTCAGATCTTTCCACTAAGAGGCAAGATGCATGAGTGGACAGATCAGGAGTCATACTGGCTTGATGACCTAGCCTGGGTGCCTCATGACAGACCTGCTGCTGCTACTGCTGATTCTGTCTGGCGCTCAGTTTCTAGTCTTGTCTACCTGAGTGCTACACCTCCCGCTCTGCTATAGGCACACACTGGCCACCTGGGAAGCTCAGCTCTGTTGGTCCTGCCCTTTGGGAATGCACATGCCTGGTAGTTCAGCTTCTTGGAGTTCCTGCTCCTTACTTAAAGCCCTTAACTCCTATGGGGTGAGGCTGGGTGGCGGCCTCTACCTGGCCCAGCAGCAAGTATAGTCTGGGGGGCGTCACAGAATAGGAAATATGACTCCAGCTCCAGGGAGCTCCCAGCTAAGTACAGGAGACCGACAGGGAAACTGCTCACCTATGATAGACCTGGGCATCAGGCTGTTTTTGAAGCTGAGATGAGTGCCCTTGGTCTAGCCCAGCACTGAGCTCCCCCTCTGTAGCTCCTAGACCTTACTCCTGACACCTGCAGCAGACCAGTCTCCCTGGTTCATCAGGGCTGGTGGCTGGTAGTCCCTCTAATGCAACATCATTGACCTCCACCCCAATATGCAGGAGGACTCTGGTAGTCTGATGCACAGGACTCTGAGGCCAGTCCAGGATAAATTCCTGCTTAGGGATCAGGAGTAAGGGAGTAGGGGATGTTGCTCTGGGCAGAGCTGAGTTCCTGACAGCAGGTAAGCTGAAATACTTCCAGATACTTCCAGACAGCTATAGAAAACCCAGATAGCAGAAGTACTCCATGTGCATGTGCACGTGCACACATGTATATGTATGTGTGCATGCATGTGTGTAAGGTGGGGGATATTTTGTTTGTTTGTTTGTTTCTTTGTTTCTTTGTTTAAACAAGCCCATCAGCCAGGACAAACAGAGCCTGGTCTCCTGGCATCAACTCAGTTGTTAAAAATAGATTGCTTCCCATGACGTTTTCCTTTGCTCTGTTTTGTTCCAACTCTGAGCCTACTACCCGCCTCCACCCCCACTGCTGTCATATAAATCAAACAGAAAAAAGACCATGTCTGGGTGCCTGTGGGAGGCTGTTGTTTCAGTGTGGAAGAGGCGGGAGTAGGCAGCTTTCTGTGAACAGACTCACCTTTCCTGGCTGGGTGCTATGTGCCTTACATCCTCCTTCCTCTTCTGCTACAGCTGTTAGAGACCAGTGAGCAGGGGCTTCCAAGGGTCCATACTGCATAGAATAGTGAGCCATATGGGAAGATGCCACAGTCTGCTTGGAACATGCTGGGGTCAGAATCTGCCTCCAGAACCCCTCAGCAAAGATGGAGGCTAGCCAGAGTGCTCAGGGCACAAACAGTTCAAAGCTCTGAGTGCTGGCCTAGAAATAAATACATTTGTCACTAGCCCAAGTGTCCCCACTGACATAAACTGTTCCTTTTTTTTTTTTAGTTTTGTTTTTTGTTTTTTTTGGAGACAGGGTCTCCTTGTAGCCCCTGCTGACCTGGAACTCACTATGTAGATCAAGCTGGCCTTGCTCTCTGAGAGATCTGTCTGCCTCTGCCTCCCAAGTGCTAGGAAGGGATCCACCACCACACCTGGCACAAGCTGCTTTTGACATGAGTGTAAGTTTTTTGCTAGGATTGCTGGGAGAGGGAAGAGAGGTAATGTCAGCCACAGGATGCACCTATGGCTAATATTACTCATGGACAGGCTACATCCAAATTGCTTCCTGCCTATGGCCAACCTCTCCCAAGTATATCCCTCCCCCCAAAGCCTGTGAGAGCAGCAGGAACGCTTGTAAGTTACTTGTCTGAGGATTTCTGGGCAGGTGGCTTCCTTAAGGAAAGACCAAAGCCAGTAGCACCCAGTGCTATCAGCTTAGCTGGAAGCCCCAAGGAAAAGGAAGGCAAGATGCTAAACAGGGCCTCTTGGCTCCTCTCAGGTGGGATGTTAGACCCTCCACTCTCTGAATTGGGAGATACCTTCTAGGCAGCTAGTCTAACTCCATATCCATTCTCAGATTTGCTCTCCAGAGGTTTTTTTTTTTTTCTGTGTGCACACCAGTTTTTCTTCACATCACCAGTGACAGGCTAGCCTGCCACCGTGGATGCACTGTCTATTACAAACTGGCATCTAGATTAGATTTTCAACATAGCAGGGTAGAGTACACAGCTTACAAATCACTGTTTACACATCCGGACCCTCCCACTGATGATCTGAGGGACTCCAAGCAAAGGACAGGGTTTTTCTAAGACTGTATCTTCTCCTTTGGTAGCCTGGAGTGATTGTTTTCACTGTGAAAGTGGCTGGCACAGGGAACATCTTTTATAAATTATAACTTCTATAACTGTTGTTGAGAAGCCCTTCTGCATAGTGAACTCAAATGTGTCTCCCTATAGCTTTAACTTGGTCCATCTAAGACAGCAATACAGTGCAAATTCCTCTTTCAAATGAGTATGGCCTTAAATATTTACAAATTACTGTACGGTCCACTCACTGCCCAATGTCTGTGGATATAGGTGTGGCTGTTGATATCCCACCTTATCTCTCCCTCCCTCCCTCCTTCCTTCCTTCCTTCCCTATCCCTCCCTCCTCCCTTCTTCCCTCCCACCTTCCCTCCCTTTTTCCCTCCTTCCCTTCCTCCCTTCCACAGGGTCTCACTGTATAGCCCTGACTGGCTTGGAATTCTTTATATAGACCAGGCCAGCCTCAAACTCACAGAGATCAACCTGCCTCTGCCTTCCAAGCACTAGGATTAAAGGTGAGCACTGCCACTGGCTGTCTTCTTCGCCCCTCATCTGCACACACATGGGTTGAAGGCCTGAGGTACAAGTGGTACAGTGTATGCTGAAGCTGAGTGCCTTTTCCTGGGATCTTGAAAGATCCTGATTCCACTTCCAGTGCTTCTCTCCTAATTTAGCCTTTGAAGCTTTGTCTTCAATTAATAATAACTTAATGCAATGATGGATATTATAGAGCTCTCCATTGGACAAAAGAAGCCCCTCTCCATGTTGTTTCTTTAAGTAGCGTGTAGCCATCCACACTTGCCTCTTGCATCTCATTTCAACAAAGAGAGTGGCCAAGGTCTTTTTCTCTAGAAAAATCTGGTTTATTCCAAATGTTTAGCTATCATATTTCCCTCTTTTTCATAAGCGGACTTTTTCCCTCCTTCCCATCTCCTTTGCAGCAACAGGACAAACCTTCAGGACTAGATTCTTTGCTCCTTTAAACTGAGAGAGAGTTTAGAAGAAACCCATAAAGATAATAAAAAGTTTGTTTTGTGAGGTGGGACTAAAACTGTCTCTTGAAGGGAAGATAACTGCATCAGGGTTAATAGGCAGCAAAGAAGATATTTGATATGATATTCTGACCATTTGCAGCCTCTGTGTAAATGAATGGCTAGCTGCTCCCCCTCTGCTGAGAACTAGAGATAGGAAGAGGCCAAAGCATTGAAGGAATTCCTCACCCAGCTATTGTACAGTGGAAAGGGAGACCTGCACAGGCTGCTAACTTAAGGGCCTCTGGTCCAGAAGAGAATCAGTTATTCTTCTTGGTTTGGAATAGAGGGTACAGAAATGTGGGGCTGTCTGTGGATGACACCAGGGAGGCCATGCAGGTGGCCAGCTGACACAGAGTTGGCAGAAATTCCAATGTTATGCTCCATCTCTCTTTTCTAAAGGGATTTATTTTAAAGTATGTGTATGTGTATGCCTGTGTATAGGTATGTACAATGAGTGCAGGTTCCCCTGGAGGTCAGGTGAGGGTGTCTGATCCCCTGGAGCTGGAGATTGGTTGTCAGCTGCCTAACATGAGTGCTGGGAATCGAACTCAGGTTTTCTACAAGAGTAGCACATGGTCTTAACCACTGAGCCATTTCTGTAGTCCTTCCATCTCTTTTTTTCATCCCTTTTGAGACAGTAGCTTCAAAGGTTGAAGTCAGGAGATGTACGGAGACTCTGAGACAGATGGTCAGGGGTGGTGTGGGCCTGTCTGTAAGTAAAGTACTTGTGAAAACCATTGAGATGCCTTCCAGAATGGAGTTTGCAAGGCTCTGCCTAAAGAGAGGGTCCATCTTAGGTACCACCTCTGCAGGAGGGCGGTGCAAAGAGAAGCAACAAATATAAGACAAAAGTAGGTGTTTCTGGTGCTTCTGTCTGTGAGCTCATTCTATTCTATGCTGTTAGGTCTTGTTCTTCCTCCGAAGTTCTCTAGCACTTTCCAAATGGGTTTTGAAATGAATGGAATCCTTCTCTCCACAAAATGAATGCTTTAGAGTTTGGCAATGAAGCAGTCCATAGAAGTCACCAAGGCACCTCAGTGGCACTCTGCAGAGGTCTGCATATTTCATACAGATAGAAGCAGAGCTCTAAGATGTGGAGGATGTACCTAGTTCTGCCTGCTTGCTGGTGCTGCTTAGTCCCCAACATCCATCTAGGGTGGGGCTATGCGGTGAAGATGGAGATGACCCCTTGTCCTCTTCCATGGCGGGGGGTCCTGGTGCTTAGAGGTTTGCAGCCATGTTTTTTGTTTGTTTGTTTTCTGTTTTGGGGTTTTTTTGTTGTTGTTGTTTTTGGGTTTTTTGTTTGTTTGGTTGAGAGACAGGGTCTTGCTATGTTGCCCAGTCTGGCCTCTTACTTGCAATCTCTTGCCTCAGTCTCCTGAGTTCTAGGATTATAGGTGTGTGCCATCATGCCTAGCTTTGCAGTCAGGTGTGAGACATTCTCTGCAGTGTGCGGAGGCCGCCAGTATGGCTCTCTTGTGATTCCAGGATCTGGCAGCTTGCTCTTGTCCTGGGCTTCCACTCTCTAGGATGAAGTGGGCTGGTCATCACTTGGAGGCTCTGGTAGAGGAGCTCCGAAGACAGTGTGGGGTAGAGTTGCCATCCAAGCCTGGAATGCTATGATTCTTAGGAAGGGAGGGCTGGCCAGGTCTCTAGAAAACCTTCTAAGTGGGCAGGGAAATAGATATGTGGGAGTTATATATCTATGCTGACTGTGGAATGTAAGTGGTGTCTTGTTTAATTTGCTATATTTTTAAAATTTGTACAATGAACTATTGATGTAGGTAAACGTCCTGAGGTCTTGAAGGATAAATAGGAGTCTGATGGAAAAGAAGATACATTGTTAGCAGGGGGCCAACTTTTCAGGGCCCCTGAGCAAAGTGGCAAGTGTCTGAGGCCAGCTGACATCCTTAAAAGTCTGGGGTATCTTTGAAATTGATCATGGGCTCTAGGAGGTGATTCTCCAAGACTCTGGAGAGCCTTGGAACTGTCTCTCACACTAGCCTTGGAACTATCTCTCACACTGCCCTGACTTGCTGGTCTCCCATCTTGTCATTGGCCATAGGCTGAATGAGAACTGATTTTTTCCTTCCCTTTTCCCAACTAAGACAGCCAAGGATTGCTGCTTAACCGGTAAGCACCAGGCAGACACACTTTCCTGTCCTGGGCCTATGTGGTATGGTCTGCCTTTGCTGGAGGGTCTTCTCCAGGAATCACACTGCCTTCTGTAAAACCTAAAGTAGGTTGTCTCTGGAGAGCCAAGAATAAGGGTCTATTCAGAAGAAAATCTGGCAAGGTCCAAATACTGGGCATCCTTATATAGAGCCCAAGAGACTGATGGCTGAACAGAGGGTACAACCAAGATGAAGGCATTTGTATGGCTAGAATGACAGGCCCAACACAGTGGCTAGACCCAGAGTCAAGGAACTTCCAAGGAATCTTTTTGTCCAGATAAACACCAGACTTGTGTACATTCAGATGCCTGAGTCCATGTCTCTTCTGGTGGTCTGATAGATACAGCTGTATTGGGAGCTAGAGAGATGACTCAGTGGTTAAGAGCATGTACTACTGTTCCGGAGGATCTGAGTTCAGTTCCTTTCACCCATGTTGGTTGGTTCACAATCACTTGTAACTCCAGCTACAGGGGATCTAATGCCTCTGGCATCTACAGCTCACATGTACATACCCATACACAGACATACACATATACACACAATTAAAAATAACAAATTAATCTTTTAAAAAAATACAGCTGTATTCAGGTGATTCCAGGCTGATTCACCCGAACAAGGCCTTGTTCCCTGGCTTCCCTACTTTGGGGAAGGGGCCCTAAGGCTGAACACTATGGGAGGAGAGAGTAGAATCAGTGTAGGACACACATATGAGGGTTGAAGCACTGAATAGAAGGAATGCCACCTGCCCTGAATGCATTCTTTCAGGAACCTTGTAGAGTACCCCCTGTGTCGGCCTTGGTACTAGGGAAATGGGAAGAGACTGCCAAACCAGGACAGTGAGACACAAAGTAGAGATTGCCTATGCCTGCAGACTGAGGTGGTCCTGAGGTAGAGCTGTGGGAAGGTAGGCCTGCTTTACTCTCTATCCACTTAACTAACTGGCTCATCAGCTCTCCCCCAATGTCCAGGAGCAGCATCTCACTTCTGTTTTGACCCTGGTGACCTCCTGGAAGGTCAGCGTAGTAAGCTTGCCAATGTCTCCTCTGTAGCATCTTCACACTGGCATACAAGGTAGCAGGGGCCTAGCAAGTGCTTAAAGGAGCTCTGTAAGCAATTTTAAACAAGAGCATTAGCCAGGAAGCTGCTCTGGGACAGAGATGCTAGAGACATCTGCAAGGGAACAGACATACTGTCCTAAGGTACCTGATGTAGTCATAAAATACATTCATGCTGCTAGGTATGGTAGCACACACCTTTAATCCCAATACTCGAAAGGTAGACGCAGGTAAATCTCCAGTCTACATAGTGAGTTCCAGGCCAGCTGGGGCTGCAGGGAAACGCTGTATCAAAAAGACAAAAATAAATAAATAAATTCATACCATTTTTGGTAGTGTGAGTAAACTGGCCCTATTTTTAGAGAACCTTAACTCCTACCACCATTCTATGTTCTAAATGACACACATATTCTTTCACCCAAAGATTCCATTTTGGAGGAACTCATGCTGAAGAAGTGTTTCATCCAAGTATATGAGAATTGTTATGAGTGTTAACTGCTGCATTATTTGGGTTGGCCAAAGAAAGATACCACAGGCCACATGCCTGACAGTAGCAGGATGGGGATCTTTGTACACTGTGATAAACATGTGAAAAATGAGGCATTCTGTACAGACTGGTAGGTGAAGGGTCCTAAAAGATTTTGTTGATGAAAAGAAGCAAGCCGCAAAGAAACATATTTTTCTACCTTAAAAATATTTTGTACTACTACTGAGCATGGTGGCACACGCCTGTAGTCCCAGCACTTGGGAGGCAGAGGCAGGCGGATCTCTGTGAGTTCAAGGCCAGCCTGGTCTACATAGGGAGTTCCAGGCTAGCTGGGGGTAAGGGGAGACCCTGCCTCCAAAAAAAAAAAAAAAAGACCAAAAAAAAATATTTTGTACTACCATGTGCGTGCATACACATAGCAGTCTGTATGTATGTATATTTGTCTGTCTACTGAAGAAATGCTTGCTTTCTCTGAGGCAGAGAGGAGGCAGTGAGGAAGAAGCTAGTACTTCACATTCTGCACACGTCTGGGTTTATGAACAAGCATGCACTCCTGTGACTCTTAAGAATCAATACAAATCCTTTCAAAGGCAATAGAATGTGGCAAAAGCATTTCCAGCAGGCTCTGCAGAGGTGCATGTGTTTCCTTAGGAGTTGAACAGGACCTGCCGGGCCATGCAGCACCGCATAGTGGAGCTCATCTCCCGTGTGTCCAATGAAGAAGTCACTGAGGAGCTGCTGCATGTCAATGACGACCTCAACAACGTCTTCCTCCGCTACGAGAGGTGGGGCCAGAGTTCTTTGGGGTCTTTCCCCTTGAAAAAGATGATTGCCATAGAGAGGAATGTCTTTCATAAACAGGGAGAGGGTGACTGAGAGAGACTGGGAAATGTAAGAGTTGGAAAATACTCATCAGAGATGTTCATTTGTTCTTGGATAAGAGAAAAAGTTCTTCCTGTTTTCCTGAGAACAGAACAGCAGGTAGTTGGCTACAGATTTCACCTTTACTCTTTGTGAGTCCTAGGGAGGCTGGGATTGGGGGTCTGCACCTGCTCCCTTGATGACCCTTTGAATTTGAAAAGGATTAAGGGGTAGGGGGAACCTTTACTAAGAAAAAGAATTTCCTCTTTCTAGTCTTGGGAGGAAAAAGAGCTTTTCCTTTGTAAATGTCAGTGTGTCTGGGGCCTTGGCTGAAGTAGGCAGGGTGTGAGCACTGTGTTTCTCCAGGGAAACGAATTCCTTCAGTCCATCCTGCAGCCAAGCCACTTATAGTAACGCATCTGAACCTTTCCTTTCCCAAAGCCTCCATCAGGACCAAGTCTAAAATCTCTCTTCTGGACCTAGCTTTAAAAGTAGGTAGTAGAATGTCATGCATAGCTCCTATCCCCGCCCAGGGATATGACTTGAAAGGACCTTGTTTAGGCCAGCCTTCTCCATTAAAGATGAGGAACCTTGGCCGGGCATGGTGGCACACGCCTTTAATCCCAGCACTTGGGAGGCAGAGGCAGGCGGATCTCTGTGAGTTCAAGGCCAGCCTGCTCTACATAGTGAGTTCCAGGACAGCTGGGGCTACAGGAAGACCCTGTCTAAAAAAAACAAAAAAAAAAAAAAAAAAATATGAAGAGCCAAGAGAGCCTGACAGTAGTCTTGGAGGCTTGTGGTCTGGTCCCTCTGCTCACTAGCTGACTGACAGCTTCCTGCATAGGTTTATCAGGAGTACAATGATCTGACATCATGTAGGGCCAGGAGAAAGACACTGCATTTGCATTACCTTTTCAGGGCTTGAC